TATTCCAAATGCTTTGCTGAAGAGGAGTCATTATCCTAAATAAAAATAAAATAAAATGTTAAAATTGTACAACTTGCAAATATTAAGAATTTATTATGGCTTCTATAAGGAAGACAGCAGCAATGGAAGGAAATGCAAAAGTTCAAAATACAAAATGGGACAGGAAGCAAAACTAAAGACAACCTAAAATGGGTTATCAAGTTAACTGTGGCAAAAGAACATAGTGGGGGAAAGTATTAGACTTAAATATAAGATAGAATCCAATCTGGGCACTGCAGTTCAAGATTTTTGAAAAACTGGCTTTGAAGTTGAATATCAAAGATGATAAAGTAAGATCTCCCACTTGGGTCTCTTCATGTACTTGGCCTATAATTCCCATCAATTCTAGCTAAAGTAACCATTAGTCAGTCATCACTATGTTTAACATTTAGAAAATGAATCATAAGCAGAAAACAATGTAACTGAGAACAGGAAGCTTAATGATAGGGCAGCACAGGGGAAAATAGTTTATATTTGACATATGATACATAGAATCAGCATAGGAATTCAAAAAATTATAAATAAATTATTCCTTGACAAATGTATTTATCGTCTAAATTAATTATATGAATAGGGCTCACTTTTAAAGTCTTAACCATTTATTTCTGTTTATAGAGTCGGAACAATTTCAGGCAGTTTATTTCATAAAAGCATAAAAATAGCATAAAAGTAATATAAAACAAAGCCCTGCAATAATACAGTCTGTACAGCAGTGACCATTAATTGCCAAAGCCTAGTTTGCCAGGCATTTTCTTTACTTAATTTATATACCTCCCATTCTTAAAAGTTTTGGACAGTCAACAATTAAGATCAACATAAAAAGCATCCTCTCAAAAATAAGAAACCCACCCACACTATAAACAAGACTGACATTCAATTAAAAATATACACAATCATGTGGTCACCATATTCCAGTCTTCACTGATAAAATGCCCGCCTCCTGTGCTAGATGGAATAACCAGGTCTTAATTGCTCTCCTGGAAACCAGGAAGGCAGCAGCAGACTGGACCTTCATGGGATTGAAATTTCAATTAGGACAGCAATTGAAAAAGCATACTTCTGAGGCCCATTAGATGACAATCTCATATTACCTCATAAAATTATAAGGTCATGTTTTGTGAGATTACCAAGATACTCTCAAGCTTGTGACATCTGATGATGTGGACAGCAACCTCGGTGCAAAGGATCCATTACTTATAATTATGCCCTTCTTGGCTTGTAAACATGGCCAGAGAGGATATGAACTGGGCATGGAAGTTAAACATCTCGAGAGAGAAAATGATGCCACAGGCCTTAAAAGAAGCAGTAGGTCTCCCCACCAATCCAAAAGCCATCACTTGAACCTACCCATCTTAATGATAATTTAATTTTTTAAAGCCTGGCACAAGCATATGATCTTACTTCAGCACCATGCTATTGAAATGCTCACAAACATCCTGCTTTGTAATCTAATCTTTTCCAGTATAGATTTCCAACTGAAAATTCTGAAGTCTCTCATATGTTCCTTCATCCTCTTTTTGAAGATGATGACAATATTTGCTCTCCTCCAGCCTCACCTCCAAGAATTCCTGAGACAAGTTTAGCAAATGTTCCCATTAGTTTCTTTAGTATTGTAGGGTGCAATCATCTGACATTTTTAGTTCTTTAAATTGTCTAAGTTCTCTCTTACCCTTTGCCTCACTGAGGCTGGAGTTCTCTCCTTCCCCATTGACCTAATAAGAAGCAGCTAGGGCTCCATTTCCCTTCTGAGACAAGATAATCATAAAATAGCAATAGCACTTAGACTTATATACTGCTTCACTGAGCTTTACAGCCCTCTCTAAGTCGTTTAGTCAGCATATTGCTCTCAACGATCTGGGTCCTCATTTTACCAATCTCGGAAGGATGGAAGGCTGTGTCAATCTTGAATTGGTGAGAATCGAACTACCGGCAGTCAGCAGAATTATACTGCCTTCTAACCACTGCGCCACCACGGCTCTTGGGGACAGAATAGGAGCAATTCTGATCTCTTTTTCTTCTTCATAGACCTACACCCACCTTGACTTTTAACTTCTAATGTGCCTGAAGAATACATTTTAAGTTACTTTTGTTTTTTGTCAAGTGAGCTCTCTATGTCGCTATATAGATGAGTAGTCACAGGAGTCTCCTAGATTCACAATTCTTATTAGAGCAGGAAGTAAAGTTTGCAGTCAGAGGAATCTTTGGTCAGCTTCACCATATTTGCCAGTTTTGACCTTTCCTGGACTAGTTGACACTGAACACAATGACTTATGCCCTTGATATCTCCTAGTACCTAGTTTGACTACCATCATTTTCTCCACATGTTTATCCTGAAAATAACCTAAAAGCTACAGCTAGCACCGAATCCACTTACCACTGAATAATGATAAACCATACAGCTTAGCAAAGTAACGCTTATGTTGTGAGAGCTATATTGGCTTAGATTAGGCTTTTGGGTCCATTTCAGACTGCTGGCTATTACCTATAAAACCTTCTATATATTGGTTCTTTGCCACCTTCAGGGCCATATTCCCAATACTTCCGAGTTAAAAGAGAGCACCGCAGGCACTTATTTCCAAGACACCAGTGTGCACTGGTGGATTTCTTGGTGGCAGGCGGTTTATATCTCTAGGTCAAAATTATACCTTATCTGTTAATAGAAAGAGTAAAAAGGTGCTCTTTTATAAAGAACCATAATTAGGCTAATAGGGATTTTTTATCAATACATTTAATTTAGTATTGGTGCTGCTCATTTTATCACTGTAAGCCACCTAGGTCTGTGAATAGGCATTTTCCAAATGAATGAATAGCTAAAAAAATTAGACAATGATCAAATAATCTGTTACCTCTGGATCAATACGAACTTGGATTGAGAGTCAAGTAACAGCATAAAGTTTACCAAATAGTTTTTATCAATTAAATAATTGTCTACTATACTGAATGAAAGGCCAAAAGACAAGGAAGGAAGAAGATTAGATTACCTTTATTGTCATTTTTTCCTGTGAGCACAATAGCACACATTAAAAAAATGAAATTTAGTTGCTTCCTCTAAAAGTGTACACATACATAACACACATTTAAAACATACTATATACTACGTATGTATAGACCTACACCCTTACATATAAGTAACATATAAATATTAATCACTTTCCTTCTTGAATACATAACGGGAGGAAGCTTTAGAGTTCACAAGGTTAATACTATATGGAACAAAGCTGTAACTGAATCTGGGTGTTCAGTTTCGGATACCACGGAGCCTCCTCCCAGAAGGTAACAAGGAAAACAGGTCGTGAAGAGGATGAGTAGTGTCCAAGACAATCTTGCGGACCCTGCTCAAGCATTGCTTATGTGCTATGTCCTGGATGGAAGGGAGGGAACTGCTAATGATCTTTTCAGCCATCCTCACCACTCTCTGCATTGCCTTCCTGTCTGAAGCAGTGATGCTTCTAAACCAGACTGTGATGCTGTATGACAGGATGCTTTCAATCGTCCCTCTGTAGAAAGTGGTAAGGATAGGGGAAGATGTGCTTTTTCTCATGCAACGCAGAAAATGCAGGCGCTGCTGTGCCCACTTCACCAGTGTCTCACTGTTAAGTGACCAAGCCAGCCTATTTGTTAACTGCACACCCAGGAATTTGATGCTGGTAACCATCTCCACAAGAACTTCATCTTAGCAAAACAGAGCAGCCTACTAGAGGACAAAAATCCTTCTTAGCATATCTGTTACTCATCTCACATTAGTCTCTAATAAGGCACTAAAATTAAAAACTGAAACTGAACTAAAAAGCAATAATTAAAGCAATCCAAATTTCTTTTATTTTGCAAAGCTTCACCTATTCTATACTTATTTGATTGAATTTCAGCACTGACTTCACCCAATACAGCAAAATTACATTTACACAGCAACCTAAGCCATTTTTTTTTTACTGTTGTGTGTAACCCAAGAGCTTATGACAATGTGTTGGATAAGCCCACATGGCAACAATATACCAAGGTTAAGCACATTTTTCTTACTGTCTTTTCAGCCAGCCAGTATAGCTGTTCCTTGAAGACCACTTTGCTAATTTAACCACAGGTAAGTGAACCTGCAATTATCCAACGAAGATAAAAACAATTTTATACGAAGTCGACTTCTTTGCATAAGGCATTGCCACGAGCACGAGCGTAGCCAAATTTTAAAATGTTAGAAAAATCTAGGAAGCAAAGTATTCGATGGCTCTTAGTTATGATGGCTCTATAATTAGTGGAAGAGATCGCTACAATCATGCTCTGCCTGCGGGCTCTACCGACCCAATTCGTTGCTGAAGTTTTTTCCCGGTTGCTCCATCAGGACTCGAGTATATTTTTTAGATGCCTGCAGGTCTATGCTTATACAGACTATTCGGATTCTTATCAAAAGAGTTAGACTCGGTGTAAGAGCAAAGCAGAACACCATCCCTCTCCCTTACTTGTGGGCCACACTCACGTCCCCAGTGCGCTTTGCTCCCAGCGTCCTCGCCTCCCTCAAACTCACCGCACCGTCAAAAACCAGAACCTTTTAACTCCAGCAGCCGCTTGTGGCGGTTCATTTTTAAATGCTTCGCCATCAGCCAATTGGAAAGCGGCAGCCTCATGCGACCCGGAAGTGCTTTTCCACGGGGTGGGAGAGTGAAGTTATTCGGAAGTGCTCCGTTCTGGCGACGCTATCCGCGGGGATTTGATGGGTAAAACCGATTGTGGAGAAAGTTGTTTTTGGTTGGGGTGTGTGTGTGCGCTCGACAGTATCTTTTTGCCAAGTAAATCTAGGCCTGTGGAAGAAGAGGCCTGTTCCTCTTAGGTCAGGGGTAGGCAACCTCGGCTCTTTTATGACTCATGGACTTCAACTCCCAGAATTCCTGAGCCAGCTTAGCTGGCTCAGGAATTCTGGGAGTTGAAGTCCATGAGTCATAAAAGAGCCGAGGTTGCCTACCCCTGTCTTAGGTGAGGAACGAGCTGTATGGGGCGAGGCTGTTGCATACAGAAGTACTCGCTTCAGCCCGCTGTCTTCCAAGCCTGCCTTCCCCCGGGACTTTTGGGGTGATCTGTGCACGGCCAAGCCGAGCTCAGTAGATGCCGGTGAACTGCTAACCAAGAGTTTAGCTAATACAATCCGTTCCACAATGTCTGATTTTGCCATCTCTTGCTTCCTTTACTATGCACTGGTTGCACTGGTTGAAATGTAGCTTCAAATATTTAAGGACTTATAGTAAAATGGAACAATTAAGCTACCAAAGCTGCAGTTTCTCAGATTAAGTTCTTAGCTGAAAATGTGCATGTAGAATTCAGCATTTAGAATGCCTTTCTTACCCAACTACAGAAAGAATTCTTCTGGTTCCTTCTACCAAAGATGAAGCAGGAAGCTTTCCGAACAGCAGCCTATACTGTGGAATGTAAGGATTATGTGCATGTGGTAGAATTCAATCCATTTGACTGTGGCACTGCAGAATCACTCATTGCATATGGCGGCAATAATTACGTAGTTGTCGGGACTTGCAGATTCCAGGTTAGTATACATTATAATGTTTACATTTATGTAAAAGTGTTAACTTGGAAGCAAAGACTACATTTTGAGCTACATCTGAAATTTGAGGAAAGAGCTTTTGAAACTCAATGGAGAAGATATACATAAAACAGAAGTTTCCAAAGGATCATTGGTAAATCCATTGCAGAAGAATCAACAAAGTATTGCACGGTTTAAAGATTAATATATGTAATAAGACATAAGCTTTGGAAGACTGCAGTTCATTTCAGCAATTATCCTAAATTCCCCAGGAGACTCAATAACTTTTTAAACCCAGCAATCAGTTTTCTTTCAGAGTTACTGTGTATATACATACAAGGATACAAGTATTCAGTGAAATATGTATGTCTACTTAGAATGGTATCCTTTTTTATTTCAATGGGAGTTATTCCCAGACCTGATTGCAGCATTTACTTAATTTTGTTTGCAAGGGAAAAGGGTATGCAAGGGTCTTATCATGGCAAGGAGGTAGGTTTGATTTGAATAACTTTCTCATTTGTTATGAAGCATATCAAAATATTACATGCATCTTTAGGAAGAAGATACAGCAGTGGAAGGAATACAGTATAAAACTCTCAGGACTTTTCAACATGAAAGCAGAGTTGATGCCATTGTGTGGAGCCCAGAAACTAGACTGGATGCTGTACCTCCCCATATAAGGTAATATGCCTAATAAAAACTTAAAGATAGCAGGATTTTATTTGTTTTAATATTAATTACATATCGTGCCTTTTGTCTGGGAGTTCAAGACCAAATACATAGTGGATCCCTCCTAATTATATCTCTTCCCCCCCCCCCCCCAGCAATCTTTTAAGGTGGATTGGGCTGAGAAAATGACAACTCATAGTTACATAGGGAGTTCAGTACAGGCAGTCCTCAACTTACAGCCATTTGTTAAGAGTCCAAAGATATACCGGCATTGAAAAAAAGTGACTTATGACCGTTTTCACATCACAGCAGTCGCAGCATCCCTATGGTCACGTGACTGAAATTTGGGCGCTTGGTAGTTACAGTGTCCTGGGGTCCCCTGATCCCCTTTTACACTCTTTTGACAACAAAGTCAGTGGGGAAGCCAGATTCACTTAACCCTGTTACTAACTTAACAAATGCAGTGATTCACTTAACAACTGTGGCAAGACAAGTCGTAAAATGGGGCAAAACAATTGTCTTGCTTAGCAATGGAAATTTGGTCACTTGTGGTCATAATTCAAGAACTACCTGTATTAAGTCCAACATTTTAACCACAATCTTGATTCTCCATATTATACTGAAGTTTGGTATTTTGAAGTATGAACCTATGCAATTTTACCAATAAGTAAAATTCTACTAAAGAGAGTTTTCTCCATGACTACTGAACGTTTAGTTTATAAGTGGATCTTTACTATAAAACAATACCCTGTATCGAGCTCAATTCTGTGTTAGTATAATGACATCCTGGAACATAATAATACTGGGTCAATCTGAAAGCATATTTTGCTCAGAATTTTGTTTTTAAAGCAGCCAATCTACTATCTTAAGAAATTTGGAAGTAAAATTATTTTTGTGCCATCAAGTCAATGTCAGTTGACAACTTAGTCATTCAGGTCTTCCAGTAGTGCATTCACTGTAATCTACTTTGCTTGTAACAGAACAGAATAACAGTTGGAAGGGACCTTGGAGGTCTTCTAGTCCAACCCCCTGGTCAGGCAGGAAACACTATACCATTTCAGAAAAATAGTTGTCCAATCTCTTCTTAAAAACTTCCAGTGTTGGTTAAAAACTTCCTTGTGGTCATCTTCTTTTTCTCCTTCCTTCCAACTTTGCAGAATGTGTCCAAAATATGAGAATTTGGGGTTAATTATCTGTTCCTCAAATGAGAACTCTATTTTGTTCTAGGATTCTTTTCTGGGATGTCAGTGGTATTCTCATGATTCTTCTATGTTTTTTGAATACTTTCCTTGCTATTTTACCAAGTACTAATCTGCTATTTCTTAATTGCTAATTCCTTTTCTCTTGATAGTTGATCCTAAAATGTAGAAGATATTTCCTCTTTAATATTTTTATTGTCAATTTCAAGGATGATTTCTTTATCTGTTTTCATTAATTTGGTCTTACTTATATTTAATATAAATTAGAGTAGTTCATCAGTACTACAGTTATTCACGTTTCTTTTTCCAATTTTAAAACCATGCTTATTCCAAACCAGCTTCCCTCAATATATATTCAGGTTGAATAGGTATAGGTTGAATTAATAAGAGGAGAATATATAGCCATTTCTTACTTCTTTCTTGACTTTGAACCAGTCTGTTTTGCCATTTCTGTCTGAACTGTGGATTCTTTAATATGTATAGGTTTTGAATAAGAACAGTTAGATATTCTGGGATTCTAATTTTCAAAAGCACATTTCATAGCTTTATCTTATTTATTTGGTCAATATAATTGAAGCCCTGACTAAAATCAGCGAAACACATATTTGCTTCTGTTTGGTATTCTTTGTCTTTCTTAATTATCCAGTGTGTATTAGCAGTATGTATCAGCAATGGTGTCTCTTGACTTTTCTAACTTGCATGTTTAGTTATGATCTTATGATCCAGCCTCATCATAAGTACTATTAGTACTCATAAAGATCCTCACCTCTTCCTCAGCATATGGAGTACCATCTGACCTGAGCGCCCTTCTAGAACGTCTAGAACTATATTATCAATCATTTTATACTGTCCGTGGAGTTTCTTGGTAAATACAAGAAATGGTTTACCATTATTTTCTCTTATGCAGTATGAAGTTATGTCTTTGCCGTTGTCTACAAAGTGATCATATATCTCCAGCATCTTCCTGTATTGCTGCCTCCTTGCTTTAGCTTTACAGTGGGATGGCCTTCGAGCCTTGAGTGACCCTGATGGGATTATATACTTTTGGCTTTTATACTTTGCTCATATCTGTTAGGAAGAACCCTCTTCATGATAAAGCACTACATTTGCACTCTCGTGTGCTTAAGCAACTGTCATTAATATAACAAAACAGGAATATTTCATACAAGAAATATTGAAAAATACAGTGTAATGCTACTTTATCTTAATCATTGAATGATTTAAAAATCTGCCCAGAAAAGTTTAAGCATTAATTTTGGCAATAAAACAGATTGGATAGAGGGATTCTGTGAAAGTACCTTATTTTCATAAGCCTCTTAGTTCATCACTGACACTAAACTCCTGCTGCTGTCAGTTTAAAAGGGCAGAAGCTGTTGTTTCTTATATGCTATGTGCATAGACAGTCCAGAAATACAGAGCTGTGACTTCCCTAGGATTATCACTTTTTTTAATTAATCGAAGACAATGAAACTTTTAAGAAAGTAAATACATAACAGCAGTGAAACCCAAGTAGGCACCAGTGTCAATGTCTTCTTAAATAAAGCATGCTTTTCAAATAATAAACTCCTATGAATCTTATCCATTTTGTAACTTATCAGTTGCCTGAGAAGTAGAAAATAAAATTAGCCATAACTAAAGCTCAAATCCAACAGCAAAATGCAGTGCCATATGGAACATATAAACAGCTATCTTCTGCCTCAAATGGCAATAAAATATGTATGTTAGTCCTAAATAATGACTTGCAGATTTCATAATTTGTATTTCCAAATCAAATTGTTATTTACTATTTTGTGTCAAGATGCATTTTTATATCATCCCCATATATTTTTTTGGGTGTATCATTTTATCATATATCTTGAGCAGGAAAGAAAATGCCTTCTCTCTATAGATGATAAATGTTATGCGGTATGCTTTTTTCACTGAAGAACAAGTAAAAACACTTTAAGTAAATAATTACAGACTACCTGCTTTGCTGTGATCTGTTATGCATATATATAGGTAGACCCTGTTTACCAACTGCCTCATTTAGCAATCATTCAAAGTAACATTGATGTAAAAATACATTTTTATGATCAATTCTCACATTTATGACCATTACAGCATGCCACAGTCATGTGATCACTAATCACGTGCTTCCCACTCAGCTTGGAACAATCAGTTAATGTAGAATGTAGAAGTCAAATTACAAGTTTTGGCCACATGATGTTTTGTTTAATGACTACAGTGACTTGGTGACCAAAGGGGAAGTGGTCATAAGCCCATCGTCATATACCAAGATGGTTGGCCAATTGTGGTTGCTAAACAAGGACTACCTATATTGCAGAAGTTTAATAATTAAANCGAACTACCGGCAGTCAGCAGAATTATACTGCCTTCTAACCACTGCGCCACCACGGCTCTTGGGGACAGAATAGGAGCAATTCTGATCTCTTTTTCTTCTTCATAGACCTACACCCACCTTGACTTTTAACTTCTAATGTGCCTGAAGAATACATTTTAAGTTACTTTTGTTTTTTGTCAAGTGAGCTCTCTATGTCGCCATATAGATGAGTAGTCACAGGAGTCTCCTAGATTCACAATTCTTATTAGAGCAGGAAGTAAAGTTTGCAGTCAGAGGAATCTTTGGTCAGCTTCACCATATTTGCCAGTTTTGACCTTTCCTGGACTAGTTGACACTGAACACAATGACTTATGCCCTTGATATCTCCTAGTACCTAGTTTGACTACCATCATTTTCTCCACATGTTTATCCTGAAAATAACCTAAAAGCTACAGCTAGCACAGAATCCACTTACCACTGAATAATGATAAACCATACAGCTTAGCAAAGTAACGCTTATGTTGTGAGAGCTATATTGGCTTAGATTAGGCTTTTGGGTCCATTTCAGACTGCTGGCTATTACCTATAAAACCTTCTATATATTGGTTCTTTGCCACCTTCAGGGCCATATTCCCAATACTTCCGAGTTAAAAGAGAGCACCGCAGGCACTTATTTCCAAGACACCAGTGTGCACTGGTGGATTTCTTGGTGGCAGGCGGTTTATATCTCTAGGTCAAAATTATACCTTATCTGTTAATAGAAAGAGTAAAAAGGTGCTCTTTTATAAAGAACCATAATTAGGCTAATAGGGATTTTTTATCAATACATTTAATTTAGTATTGTTGCTGCTCATTTTATCACTGTAAGCCACCTAGGTCTGTGAATAGGCATTTTCCAAATGAATGAATAGCTAAAAAAATTAGACAATGATCAAATAATCTGTTACCTCTGGATCAATACGAACTTGGATTGAGAGTCAAGTGACAGGATAAAGTTTACCAAATAGTTTTTATCAATTAAATAATTGTCTACTATACTGAATGAAAGGCCAAAAGACAAGGAAGGAAGAAGATTAGATTAGATAACCTTTATTGTCATTTTTTCCTGTGAGCACAATAGCACACATTAAAAAAATGAAATTTAGTTGCTTCCTCTAAATGTGTACACATACATAACACACATTTAAAACATACTATATACTACGTTGTATAGACCTACACCCTTACATATAAGTAACATACAAATATTAATCACTGTCCATCTTTAATACATTACGGGAGGAAGCTTTAGAGTTCACAAGGTTAATACTATATGGAACAAAGCTGTAACTGAATCTGGGTGTTCAGTTTCGGATACCACGGAGCCTCCTCCCAGAAGGTAACAAGGAAAACAGGTCGTGAAGAGGATGTGTAGTGTCCAAGACAATCTTGCGGACCCTGCTCAAGCATTGCTTATGTGCTATGTCCTGGATGGAAGGGAGGGAACTGCTAATGATCTTTTCAGCCATCCTCACCACTCTCTGCACTGCCTTCCTGTCTGAAGCAGTGATGCTTCTAAACCAGACTGTGATGCTGTATGACAGGATGCTCTCAATCGTCCCTCTGTAGAAAGGGATAGGGAAAGATGTGCTTTTTCTCATGCAACAGTGTCTCACTGTTAAGTGACTAAGCCAGCCTATTTGTTAACTGCACACCCAGGAATTTGATGCTGGTAACCATCTCCACAAGAACTTCATCTTATTAAAACAGAGCAGCCTACTAGAGGACAAAAATCCTTCTTAGCATATCTGTTACTCATCTCACATTAGTCTCTAATAAGGCACTAAAATTAAAAACTGAAACTGAACTAAAAAGCAATAATTAAAACAATCCAAATTTCTTTTATTTTGCAAAGCTTCACCTATTCTATACTTATTTGATTGAATTTCAGCACTGACTTCACCCAATACAGCAATTACATTTACACAGCAACCTAAGCCAAATTTTTTTTACTGTTGTGTGTAACCCAAGAGCTTATGACAATGTGTTGGATAAGCCCACATGGCAACAATATACCAAGGTTAAGCACATTTTTCTTACTGTCTTTTCAGCCAGCCAGTATAGCTGTTCCTTGAAGACCACTTTGCTAATTTAACCACAGGTAAATTAACCTGCAATTATCCAACGAAGATAAAAATAATTTTATACGAAGTCGACTTCTTTGCATAAGGCATTGCAACGAGCACGAGCGTAGCCAAATTTTAAAATGTTAGAAAAATCTAGGAAGCAAAGTATTCGATGGCTCTTAGTTATGATGGCTCTATAGTTAGTGGAAGAGATTGCTACAGTCATGCTCTGCCTGCGGGCTCTACCGACCCAATTCGTTGCCGAAGTTTTTTCCCGGTTGCTCCATCAGGAGTCGGGTATATTTTTTAGATGCCTGCAGGTCTATGCTTATACAGACTATTCGGACTATTAGATGCCTGCAGGTCTATGCTTATACAGACTCGGTGTAAGAGCAAAGCAGAACACCATCCCTCTCTCTTACTTGTGGGCCACACTCACGTCCCCAGTGCGCTTTGCTCCCAGCGTCCTCGCCTTCCTCAAACTCACCGCACCGTCAAAAACCAGAACCTTTTAACTCCAGCAGCCGCTTGTGGCGGTTCATTTTTAAATGCTTCGCCATCAGCCAATTGGAAAGCGGCAGCCTCATGCGACCCGGAAGTGCTTTTCCACGGGGTGGGAGAGTGAAGCTATTCGGAAGTGCTCCGTTCTGGCGACGCTATCCGCGGGGATTTGATGGGTAAAACCGATTGTGGAGAAAGTTGTTCTTGGTTGGGGGTGGGGGGTGCGCTCGACAGTATCTTTTTCCCGCGTAAATCTAGGCCTGTGGAAGAAGAGGCCTGTTCCTCTTAGGTGAGGGGTAGGCAACCTCGGCTCTTTTATGACTCATGGACTTCAACTCCCAGAATTCCTGAGCCAGCTAAGCTGGCTCAGGAATTCTGGGAGTTGAAGTCCATGAGTCATAAAAGAGCCGAGGTTGCCTACCCCTGTCTTAGGTGAGGAACGAGCTGTATGGGGCGAGGCTGTTGCATACAGAAGTACTCGCTTCAGCCCGCTGTCTTCCAAGCCTGCCTTCCCCCGGGACTTTTGGGGTGATCTGTGCACGGCCAGGCCGAGCTCAGTAGATGCCGGTGAACTGCTAACCAAGAGGTTAGCTAATACAATCCGTTCCACAATGTCTGATTTTGCCATCTCTTGCTTCCTTTATTATGCACTGGTTGAAATGTAGTTTCAAATATTTAAGGACTTATAGTAAAATGGAACAATTAAGCAACCAAAGCTGCAGTTTCTCAGATTAAGTTCTTAGCTGAAAATGTGCATGTAGAATTCAGCATTTAGAATGCCTTTCTTACCCAACTACAGAAAGAATTCTTCTGGTTCCTTCTACCAAAGATGAAGCAGGAAGCTTTCCGAACAGCAGCCTATACTGTGGAATGTAAGGATTATGTGCATGTGGTAGAATTCAATCCATTTGACTGTGGCACTGCAGAATCACTCATTGCATATGGCGGCAATAATTACGTAGTTGTCGGGACTTGCAGATTCCAGGTTAGTATACATTATAATGTTTACATTTATGTAAAAGTGTTAACTTGGAAGCAAAGACCACATTTTGAGCTACATCTGAAATTTGAGGAAAGAGCTTTTGAAACTCAATGGAGAAGATATACATAAAACAGAAGTTTCCAAAGGATCATTGGTAAATCCATTGCAGAAGAATCAACAAAGTATTGCACGGTTTAAAGATTAATATATGTATTAAGACATAAGCTTTGGAAGACTGCAGTTCATTTCAGCAATTATCCTAAATTCCCCAGGAGACTCAATAACTTTTTAAACCCAGCAATCAGTTTTCTTTCAGAGTTACTGTGTATATACATACAAGGATACAAGTATTCAGTGAAATATGTATGTCTGCTTAGAATGGTATCCTTTTTTATTTCAATGGGAGTTATTCCCAGACCTGATTGCAGCATTTACTTAATTTTGTTTACAAGGGAAAAGGGTATGCAAGGGTCTTATCATGGCAAGGAGGTACGTTTGTTTTTAACAACTTTCTTATTTGTTATGAAGCATATCAAAATATTACATGCATCTTTAGGAAGAAGATACAGCAGTGGAAGGAATACAGTATAAAACTCTCAGGACTTTTCAACATGAAAGCAGAGTTGATGCCATTGTGTGGAGCCCAGAAACTAGACTGGATGCTGTACCTCCCCATATAAGGTAATATGCCTAATAAAAACTTAAAAGATAGCAGGATTTTATTTGTTTTAATATTAATTACATATCGTGCCTTTTGTCTGGGAGTTCAAGATCAAGTACATAGTGGATCCCTCCTAATTATATCTCTTCCCCCCCCCCCAGCAATCTTTTAAGGTGGATTGGGCTGAGAAAATGACAACTCATAGTTACATAGGGAGTTCAGTACAGGCAGTCCTCAACTTACAGCCATTTGTTAAGAGTCCAAAGTTACACCGGCATTGAAAAAAAGTGACTTATGACCGTTTTCACAGTCACAGCAGTCGCAGCATCCCTATGGTCACATGACTGAAATTTGGGCGCTTGGTAGTTACAGTGTCCTGGGGTCCCCTGATCCCCTTTTACACTCTTTTGACAACAAAGTCAGTGGGGAAGCCAGATTCACTTAACCCTGTTACTAACTTAACAAATGCAGTGATTCACTTAACAACTGTGGCAAACAAGTCGTAAAATGGGGCAAAACAACTGTCTTGCTTAGCAATGGAAATTTGGTCAATTGTGGTCATAATTCAAGGACTACCTGTATTAAGTCCAACATTTTAACCACAATCTTGATTCTCCATATTATACTGAAGTTTGGTATTTTGAAGTATGAACCTATGCAATTTTACCAATAAGTAAAATTCTACTAAAGAGAGTTTTCTCCATGACTACTGAACGTTTAGTTTATAAGTGGATCTTTACTATAAAACAATACCCTGTATCGAGCTCAATTCTGTGTTAGTATAATGACATCCTGGAACATAATAATACTGGGTCAATCTGAAAGCATATTTTGCTCAGAATTTTGTTTTTAAAGCAGCCAATCTACTATCTTAAGAAATTTGGAAGTAAAATTATTTTTGTGCCATCAAGTCAATGTCAGTTGACAACTTAGTCCTTCAGGTCTTCCAGTAGTGCATTCACTGTAATCTACTTTGCTTGTAACAGAACAGAATAACAGTTGGAAGGGACCTTGGAGGTCTTCTAGTCCAACCCCCTGATCAGGCAGGAAACACTATACCATTTCAGAAAAATAGTTGCCCAATCTCTTCTTAAAAACTTCCAGTGTTGGTTAAAAACTTCCTTGTGGTCATCTTCTTTTTCTCCTTCCTTCCAACTTTGCAGAATGTGTCCAAAATATGAGAATTTGGGGTTAATTATCTGTTCCTCAAATGAGAACTCTATTTTGTTCTAGGATTCTTTTCTGGGGTGTCAGTGGTATTCTCATGATTCTTCTATGTTTTTTGAATACTTTCCTTGCTATTTTACCAAGTACTAATCTGCTATTTCTTAATTGCTAATTCCTTTTCTCTTGATAGTTGATCCTAAAAGATATTTCCTCTTTAATATTTTTATTGTCAATTTCAAGGATGACTTCTTTATCTGTTTTCATTAATTTGGTCTTACTTATATTTAATATAAATTAGAGTAGTTCATCAGTACTACAGTTATTCACGTTTCTTTTTCCAATTTTAAAACCATGCTTATTCCAAACCAGCTTCCCTCAATATATATTCAGGTTGAATAGGTATAGGTTGAATTAATAAGAGGAGAATATATAGCCTTTTCTTAGTTCTTTCTTGACTTTGAACCAGTCTGTTTTGCCATTTCTGTCTGAACTGTGGATTCTTTAATATGTATAGGTTTTGTATAAGAACAGTTAGATATTCTGGGATTCCAATTTTCGTAAGCACATTTCATAGCTTTATTTTATTTATTTGGTCAATATAATTGAAGCCCTGACTAAAATCAGTGAAACACATATTTGCTTCTGTTTGGTATTCTTTGTCTTTCTTAATTATCCAGTGTGTATTAGCAGTATGTATCATCAATGGTGTCTCTTGACTTTTCTAACTTGCATGTTTAGTTATGATCTTATGATCCAGCCTCATCATAAGTACTATTAGTACTCATAAAGATCCTCACCTCTTCCTCAGCATATGGAGTACCATCTGACCTGAGCGCCCCTCTAGAACATCTAGAACTATATTATCAATCATTTTATACTGTCTATCCGTGGAGTTTCTTGGTAAATACAAGGAATGGTTTACCATTATTTTCTCCTATGCAGTATGAAGTTATGTCTTTGCCGTTGTCTACAAAGTGATCATATATCTCCAGCATCTTCCTGTATTGCTGCCTCCTTGCTTTAGCTTTACAGTGGGATGGCCTTCGAGCCTTGAGTGACCCTGATGGGATTATATACTTTTGGCTTTTATACTTTGCTCATATCTGTTAGGAAGAACCCTCTTCATGATAAAGCACTACATTTGCACTCTCGTGTGCTTAAGCAACTGTCATTAATATAACAAAACAGGAATATTTCATACAAGAAATATTGAAAAATACAGTGTAATGCTACTTTATCTTAATCATTGAATGATTTAGAAATCTGCCCAGAAAAGTTTAAGCATTAATTTTGGCAATAAAACAGATTGGATAGAGGGATTCTGTGAAAGTACCTTATTTTCATAAGCCTCTTAGTTCATCACTGACACTAAATTCCTGCTGCTGTCAGTTTAAAAGGGCAGAAGCTGTTGTTTCTTATATGCTATGTGCATAGACAGTCCAGAAATACAGAGCTGTGACTTCCCTAGGATTATCACTTTTTCTAATTAATCGAAGACAATGAAACTTTTAAGAAAGTAAATACATAACAGCAGTGAAACCCAAGTAGGCACCAGTGTCAATGTCTTCTTAAATAAAGCATGCTTTTCAAATAATAAACTCCTATAATAATAATAATAATAATAATAGTAAAGTTGGAAGGGACCTTGAAGGTCATCTAGTCCAACCCCCTGCTCAGGCAGGAAACCCTATACCATTTCGGACAAATGGTTGTCCAGTCTCTTCTTAAAAACTTCCAGTGTTGGAGCATTCACCGCTTCTGGAGGCAGGTTGTTCCACTGGTTAATTGTTCTCACTGTCAG